AACAAGACTGACTTGCCAGTCGAAAAGTCTTGCCGTCCCCTTCGTACAGCCTCGTCTTCTCTATTTTTTCGATCTAGCGAATAGCCAAGGAGACGAAAAGTCTTTTTATCCAGTCCCGACTGGCAATCAAGCGATATCGACGGAGCTATTGCCTTCGCCATCGCCGCTGCCTCGTGCCGGGGCCGAGGGATGCTGACTCGCCGAGCTGCCGGCAGCCTGGCCTCGTTGCACGACCCGTCGTCACCGACGCGACATCCAATCTCCGGTAGGCCAATTGGTTCTTCCAACGGGCTGAGTTTCCTTCAGAGTCGAACCTCTTCGTTGAGTCCGAGAACGGCCTGGCCGGTTCATGCGATATACGCCTCATCTGGGCCCGACTCCCAAAGTGCTGCTGTGTTTGCTGCAGCCTCCTCCGATTTATCTCTTTCCTCCTACTTCCCTTCGCCCTCATCCTCTTGCTCCTCCTCGTCGTCAGCTTCATCCGCCCCAACCACAGGAGGCGTCAGTCTGACTTCCCCATCTCCACCCTCAACCACCACCATCACCACCACCACCACCACCACAATCAGCCACAACATTAACTTCCTCGACATCGGAGACAGCCTGGTCAGTCCAACAACTACATCCTTACAAGTGGTCTATTTAAACGGACTTAACAGGGAGTCTAGTGATCCCACAACTGCCATGGCAACAGGTTGCGAGACTGCAACCATGCACGGGACAGTCTGTCCACGGTACCAAACAGCTGAGGCGTGTCAAGAGGTCCAGGAGCCGCAGGCGATCTCGACGACTCCGTCATTGCTACAAGACATTCAGAGGTAGGCATGCTGAAATTTTGCCCTTCAGACGATCGTTTGATAAGCCGCCTTAACGACACTCTAAAATATTTATGAGTTATACTATGTAGAATAAGACGAATGATAATCATTTCCCACAATTAAATTAATGGTTATCACAATGTCATTAAATCTCAGATAAGCATTATGGTAAAAGTCAACTTCCAGTAATCTAGGGCGAGTAAAATTATTATTTTCCCTGCCCTCGACAGTCTCAAAATCTATGTTCACTTGAACTAATACTTAATTACTGACTATATTAGTATTGATGAGGCTTTATTGTGCCTACTATGACCCAATAATTATGATTAACCATGTCTGAATGTAAAATAGTCCTTGTAAATTAAAAGTGAGAGTGAGACATAGAATATGAATGATGCCTGAGCCGAGAATAAGGGATTCCCCAGACAACTCTATTAAATTCACGAAGAATCTACCCGTTCATAATAAAGGTAACTTCGTATGGCAAGAGTAGGGTTTCGAGAATACCAGTAAATCAGTGCAATGAGATGTATTCATGACCTTACACGAAATAGGGTTAATATATATCATTCGTATGGCAATGTTTCAGCATCCTTAGAGTTGATTACAGGAATGTTGGGGCTGGTTATGTCTGTTTGCCCTTCTTTTGCCCATTGGCTGTGACCTCTTGGGCGCTCTATTGCTCGCAATTGATGCAGTCGGATCCCTCCTAGAAGAGAATATCCAGAGAATCGACAAGGCTCCCATCAGCAATTCTTCTCTTTTGGCTACTTAGTTAATATAAAGTTTTAGCAACATCTTCCCATTTTCGAGACTGCATCGGATATTGCGAGTAACTCAACGGAAAGTCCATTTGTAAGTAAGGAAAGCCATGAGTATCTTATGCGATATAACAATGTAAAGTTAATACAATTTAGGATTCAAGACCATCAACAAAACTCGAATATAAGTTCTTCTCAGCATTGGTAGCATAAAATGTTGAGGTCATGCTAGGTGAATTGTCCCACAAAAATAGGAATGAATCTCATTCAGGGTGGACTGAAATTTTGATCCGCTTGTTTATCTTCCGCTCTCCTAACGGAAATCGAACATGATCAATGCAGCATTATTTGTATCATATTTTCGCAACATGATCGTAAAGTCGGAGAGACCCAGATGAGACCGCAATGTCCGGAGTTCTCAGCCGTAGTAGACATGCTATTTTCAAGCAAATAACTGTTGACTTGATACATTATCATGACTAGCATGGCAAAGGACTTTTGACAATTTGGGATTATTAACGTCTCATTGACATTAAAATAAAATTGAAAAATCAAGGCCAAAACAATTCTATGCTACAAAAGGAAACCAAAATGATTTTCAAAGCCATATAATGTTGGTCCTAGTACCGGCGAAGTTACTAATAGTTGTTACAGTGCCATGAGTGAAAGTAGATAAGAGGGAAAAAATGAATATCACGGCAAATCAGGCTGGTCTCATTTTACATTTATTGAGAGATTGTCAATGCAACAAGCATACATTTTGATAGGATAATCGAGTAAGAGGATAGAGAGCATAGAAAGTAAATTTCAAGAATATAAGAATCAATCAAAAGAGAAATGGGGTCATTTGAAGACAAAGTTCGAACTGAGGTCTTTGGATGAGATAAAAAATAATAACTGAATGAGTTTGGGTGTAACTAGATAAAAGACTAATAAAAATAAATAAATATCAAACTGTCTTCGTGATTAGCGAAAAGTTAATTTAGGGTGAGTGAGTTTTTAATCAATAATAAGTGAAAGCATAAAAGCATGATCACACAGGGTAACAAATGTGTATTTAATAGACTGATTGTAGGGCTTGTTTGAAGACAAAGCTCAAACTGAATTCTTTGGATAAGACGTTTCAGCTGAAGTCGATAACTCGTGTGAACGATCTTTGCAGGTCGAGATGCACTAGAGAAGAGTCCTCTCATCAGTTCAAGAAAGATGGCCCCAAGGCAGATGATACTAGATGGACAGTAGCTATTAGTCGAGCTTACTGTGTACTGCCAACAACAAAAAGAGCTCTTGCAAATCGAGACAAGTGAGTTGATAGATTCTTAACGCTGACGAATTCTAAAAGTCCACCTCAGCACTCTAATGATAACGGAATCATCGGCAGAGTAACCTGGTACTGCTTTCATGTGAACAATAAATAACCATGCTAAATCAAGTCTGGAAGAAAATCAGCCCTTCCGATACAGTCAAAGATTAAAATTGCCATGGCGGCGGAGTAGGCAATATGAGATGTGACATTGTAGCCTTAATCCGGTTAGAATTATTGGTTTTAAGATCTCTCTTAGATTTGGTGACGATGTTAATGAAAGAAATAGGCGAATAATGATTATTGTTTACATAGCCTGTCACAAATGAAGACTGATAAAGTGGAAACTCATTTACTGAAAGCGCTATTGTGCTTCGGCATGCATGCAAGTATCACGGCACTAGAGGACATCGGTAGGAGGAAAGCACCCTAAGAGGCTCGTCTCAGCGATGAAGTTTAGTCTCATTTATATTATTCTTGGATCTCATTGGATCTATGCTTAAAATTAAGAAGAATTGCACAGTGGGCCGGCCAAGATCAATTCAACAAATTAGCATCCTCTAATATTATTTGCTGCCTGCTCATTGAATTGCCTCAGTTACAGAATTTCTATGTCATTCATATGTGATTTGTTTCAAATTCGGCGGAGTCTATCAAAATACAAAATCTTAGAACGTATAAATTGATTAAATTGTTTCGCGAGCTTCTGCACTAAAATAAAACATTCTTTAATTCAATACAGTATTCTTTTGGTTTTCAATGATAACTTTAACCAAACTGTTCACCTTATCTAAACAGTCCGATAATATTTTGACCATATAATTCCGCCAAAGAAACTTGCACTCTTTGTAGGGTTTCTAGATATCTGTGTGTTAATAATCTTATCGCTATGAAAGCCAACAAAGGTGGAGCAGTGGTAGTCATGGCTAGGTCAAGTAATGTAGAAAAAATGCTATTTCATTTAAATGACCCTCACACATGCCTTTATTGAGAGTTCCATCAGAAAGACTTAAGACCATGCTAAATAGTGCCCTTAAGGTATGCGTAAGTAATGGTGAAATGAAAAGATGGAACATGAAATCACTACTCCAGAGAGATGCAAAGGCTCCCACGACTTACGGTCTCCCTAAGGTCCACAAGGAGGGTGTACCTCTAAGATTAATTCTAAATAATAAAAGGAACGTGATGCATAAAATCTCACGTTTTTTATGCATACAAGTTAAAGGCAAGAAGTAAGTTAGAAAGAGATGTTTATAGGAACCCAACATAAGTTGGCTATTTGCTAAATTTTTTTTCCAACCATCGTTACAAAATTAAGGTTGTGATTTCGAAATCAATGATTATTATGAGTATGAGGCTAGCAGATAGCAAATATTTGACTAAAGATTTGGAACAGCTGACAAATTTATCCCAGGAAAATAATTATCCTTTAGGGCTTATTAAGAATAATATCTCTTTACTA